TATTCTTTTTCCTTAAAGAATTGTCCAGTCTGTCTTTGCATCATGTCAGAGCCACGTGAAGTGTGGCAGTCTCACCTCTGGGAACGTCAGGACATTCACTGAATGTGGGTGTCACAAGGCCGGTTCAGCGTCATGAAGTGCTTTGCCATCCTTTCAGTAGTCTTGGCTACCACTGAGCCAACTCACTGTTTCATCAGTTGTTGCAAAGCTGCGAAGCGGTAGTTTTCTTCATTTTCTCATTCCTCCTCTGTTTATTAGCTGTGCTTCTTGATGAGGAATTTTTTTTCCCATCATTTTGTTATTTTAAAAATACTCAAGAAAAGCCTGGGAAATTCAGTCTTTATCAGTTTGTAGAATAATGAGTCAGTGCTTTGGTAACTTCCAAAGATGACAAATGAGTTTTCTTATTTTGTGTTTTAGAAGTATGAGTGTGGACATCCAGTTTCTACTGTATCAGATCAGCAACTGCATGAATGGAATCATTCACTGTGGTGCTATTTTTGTGTCTCTGGCTTTTGGGAGAATCATTAGTTTGTCTAGCAGGGTCTTTTTGACATGATTTTAGTAAATTTTGTTAACATCTTAGACTCATACATGACAGATTGCCCCAGACTCATGGACTCTGTTCCTGGGGAACCCTCATGGGAAATAACATTTAGAGACAACGATGTGGACCTGATGGTGGCTCATGCGGGTACTCCTAGCAGTCTGGGGGCTCAGGCAGCGCTGGGAGCTTGAGGCTAATCTGATCTACACAGCAAGACTCTGTCTCAAAACAAACAGGCAAACAAACAGCCAAAAACTCCGTAAAAACAGAACGTGATCTGAGCTCTGAGAAACCCTCATTGCTGCCCAGTTGTCAAAGATAAGTACTACTGGTCTTGTAGAGAAAAAAGTGATGAGTTTATATTGATATTTCAAATTCCCATTAAAACTTGAAGGGCTTATCTGCCTTTCATTTGATAGCTGTATGTTAAATTTTCAAGTAGTTTCATAGAAGTTCTGTTTGCATTCTTACGAGCTCATTCAATGGATTTTATTTTGTCTCTAGGATTTTACTGGGAACATGTAGTAAAAAATATTGTTTTGGGTGTAGTAGAATAATTTCATATGTGGTTATTCTGTCAAACTTGATAAAAGTTTGTTTCAATTTTTCCCCCCTTTTTTTTCCAGCTTGCTGTTTTCTTCCCCTCTTCTCTCTTTGTCTCTCCCTGTCGTCTTTTCTGATATTGGGAACCCAGGATTTTACACATGCCAGGCAAATGGTTCACTACTGAGTTCTTAGTCCTTTGTAAAGAAAAAAAAAAATGTTTTTTGGCAATGTAGTCTCACTGTTGCCCAGACCAGCCTCACATTCGTGATCCTGCTGCCTCAGCCCTCTTAGCAGTTGGAACTGCAGGCGTGGGTCGGCAGGCATGGCCCGCAATGCCTACCCTTTTTTTAAAATTTAGCCTTTTTCTTTTCTTTCTTTTTTATTAAAGAAAATAAACCTTGGGACTGGGGAAATAGCTCAGTAGAATAAGTGCTTCCCTGGCAAGCACAAGGGTCTGAGTTCAATCCCCAGTTCCGCTAAAAAAAGAGAAGAAACATAAGGTGATTATATTCTTGGGAGTTTATAGTTTGAATTTAGTCTTAAAGTTTACTAGACATTGTTTTCTGCATGGTTTGTCTCCTTAGTCATTGCCAAAGGACTCTGAGAAGTTGTAGAGATATGCAGGTGCAGGCACGAGGCCCAGCTTCTTCTCTAATGTTGTGGAAAGAGATTGCACACCATGGGGCAGAGCCCTATGCTCCCCTAGACCATGGACAGAGCCTGGGGAGCGTGACCTCCTGGGGTATCCATGTTGGGTAGCCTTTTTCTTAATTATGTAAGATATTACAGGTCCAGTGTCAAGACATGTATTCAGATGCCCATTCTCATTTTATTGCTCCCCCAGTTCTCTCACTCGCTGGAGTATTTGTTTGCTATTCATTATGTTAATTGCTTTTTAGTTTTATCTTTTCATTGTTTCTTTGTGGAAAATTTAAGAAAGTGTGTTTATATACGTTTGGGCATTCACATATACGGGCGCAGAAGGGTGTCATTATGTCCTCATTCTTGCATAAAGGACAACACATTATTCCTGTTCTTCTGCATCTTGCTTTTTAACAAACTATCATTTAAAGATTCACTCCAAAAAGATACAGAGAGAAAGAGAGAGAGAGAGAGAGAGAGAGAGAGAGAGAGAGAGACTGTCGTTTACACTGTGTGCTAATTCATTGGGTGCCTAAGCTATAACATTGAATCTTCCGTTGACAAATATTTGAATTATTTCCCATTCTTGTCAGAACTAGTGCCAGGATAGATAGCTTTGTGCATACAGCCTTTCATGTTTTTGTCACATTTTACTATTTTATATTCAAGATAGATTGCTGGAAGGAGGCATAGGTCAGAGTAGAGACAGATTAGAGAGCACATTCCTTCAGAGAGGGCTTAAAAACAAGCACGTTCAACATGGGCAAGTGCAGTGAGAAGATTCTCAGTATCTAGTTCTCAATTAGGAAGGGGGAGGGAGAGTATGTTTCCTGAGTGATTCTGTAGAGGGATAATTGTGTCCAAAGGGCAGAGATATAAAGATTTTTCTATATTTTATGTGTCTGTAAGTTAATTTTCAAAAGCAAAATTATTTGGGCAGTTAACTGGGCATAACAACATTTTCTTCAGGTCCCTATTTTCTCAGATTATTTCTTAAAGGCTTGTTCTAGTTTTTACTAGCAGTGAAAGATTTGGATTTTACTTGTACCCTTTGCCAATAGTATATTTTTATTTAGTCTTTTTTAACTTGGTAAATGATAAAAAACTGTCTTTGCTTTAATTTACTTTTAGTGTCCTAATTATTGTTTCTGTTTTATGAGTTCTTTTATAGAAAATATATTAATGACTGTTGCATTTTTTTAAAGCACTGTCTCTAAATTTTGCAATTCTGATTCCTTTTTTTTTAAGCTTTTTATGTGAGGGATGGAACCCAGGGCCTTGCTGTGCTAGCCAGGTGTTCTGCCACGGAGCTGTACTCCTAGCCTCTTGTCTCTAAAGTTGGATATCAAGCATGCTGATTGCATTTTTCTGCTGTCTTCTGTTGCTTATATCTTCTAACAGTCTCGTGAGGAGCTCTCACTTCTCAGGCAAACCAAGTGTATATGTGACCAATTTTCAGGGTATAAAATTGCAGTTTATGAATTTATTTTCTCAGAATGGACCAAAAACTAGTATCATCCCAAGATAAAATTCAAGTAATAACAGGAGAGTTACTACTAGCAAATGCATCCGTTCTGCATTTCCCATGTGTAGAACCCATAGTTGGTTTGTTGTCTCAGCCCTCCAGATCAGGCCGAGGTAGCTCTGGAGTCGTGTTCTGATCTTGGGGCTGTGAGGAAGAAATCACATGAGCTAACAGTTCCTGAACACAGAGTAGCAACCCCCCACGAGGAAGAATCTGTCATGAGCCCTATTTTAGAGATGGGGAAACAGGCATTAGGAATACAGTGTGATCTTTCACAAGTCTTACTGAATTAATAGAATTGCAGTCTGCTTTAAAAATATATACATAAAAATGTTTTGCTATTTAGTTTTTGTATTTTTTTATTTTACAACTAACTAGTGCCTATATTTTTTAATAGTATTTTATTACTAATATTTTGTAAAATACCATTGGCTAGTTCTCCTGTTCCTTAAAATAATTTTGTCATAAAGTTTATGTTGAGCTTTGGTTCACAAAAAATATTTAACATGAACGTAGTTTTGGTGTTCAGTGCTGAAACGAGATGATGATAAATGTTTGAGCTTGTCAAATGTTTTGTGGGTGACTTGGACCCAGGGTCAGTTTTTAAAAGACACATTGTTTTATTTGAAAAAAAAAATTGAACATTTTTCTTTCCTATAAAATTTAAAAACATTTTGTGAATGACTGAATTGTACTTCAGTAATAAAAAGCTAGGTACATGCTTATCATCTCTGAACATTAACCAACTCCATTTCCTCCCTTCTCTGCACAGGAACATGGAGCACCAGTCTCCTGGGCAGGCCGCGGCGCCTGTGCCGGCATATCCAGCGCTCAGCCCGCTGCAGATGCTGTGGTGGCAGCAGATGTATGCCCACCAGTATTACCTGCAATAGTGAGTGCTGCTGCACTAGGGCTCTGCGTCCTCACACAGGGATTGAGTTTGCTTTTACTTGATTTGGGGTTTTATTTGCTGATATGTTTAATTAGTTACTTAAAATTATTATGAGAAGCAGTTCACAAACATCTTAGCAGCTAACACACTTTTAAATTACTGGGCTGAAGGAAAAATTGTTCACCTCCATTTCATGTCAGTTAAATCTGCTTCTTGCTCCTCTGCCTCTTCCCTTGTGGCATTTGCAGTAGTCAGATGATTTTTTTTATTTTAATGAATGTATTTGGCACATGATACAGGGTTTCACCATGCAGCTCAGACATTTAGTGATCCTCCTGTTTTCAGCCTTCCCAGTGCTGGGATTACAGTTGTACGCCACCATTCCCAGTTTCAGTGGCCGGCTCAGGGCACCTGGGGGGTGGGACCGGCATGGCATGTGGTACCAGGGATTGGGGTAAGCAGACACTTAGTCTGCTGAGCTGTCTTGCCCTCAGATGATTTCTTTAATAATTATTTTTTATAAATTGAAGGGAAGATGGAGTGTTTCACTGGAGGGTGGCACATCTGCACAGGAAGATAGAAGTCAGACAGGGAATAAAGAGGGTTATGTCCAGGGGGCTGCTCCTTATGTAGGGCAGGTGTGCGATGTGTTTCCTGCATCAGCCTCAATACTGAATAGGCCGCACAGCCTTGTCTGTGCTTCTGTTTCCTGCTCATCCAATTTTCCTCATGAGGTTTTTTGTCTTTTGGCCGCCCATTTTCCCTACTCATGAGTAGCTAGCACTTCTCACCCAGTGTGACAGATGCTTGTGTCCGTACGTGGGCCTGGGGCATGCATGGTCAGCAGGACTTGGCCTGTGCAGTCCACGTGGACTTCTGTCTTCCATGACCTTAGTTGCTGCTCCATGTGGGTTACTCCTTGTTCTTTACCTCCTGCGTGTCATCTTGGGTCCCTGCTGAGTTGCATCCTTCAGTACCACAGTTCCTCCAGACTTGGCAAGGGCCAGTGATTCCTGAATAGAGCTCACTGAAATCAGGATTGGGACTGAGGGGTTGTGTTCTGAGATGTGTTCAGTATTTTCAAATACTAGCACAAATCATTTATGAATAGTACTAGATACAGTAGATAATTACTCATTTTTATACAAATCTTTGAAAACATTTGGGTCTGAAGGAGAGCTGGTGGGCTTGAAGACATGCACCCCATGTAGACTAACAAAAGGGGGGTCAGCAGCAGGAGATCACACTCATGGCAGAGTGGTGACCCTGCCCAGCTGTCCCATCTCCCCCACCTCCCACATTGCCTTGCTCACCCTGCTGAGAGTGCCCTCTCCTGATCTGCCCATTGATTGGCATTTGTGTGTGTCTAAGAAACATGGTGTGGGGGTTGTGACTTCACTTTAGGTTCATGACAAGTGCTTGAATCCCATGGAAGTGTTAACAATTACACTATGGTAAAGTCTTTTTTGTTTGTTTGTTTTTTTGGTGACAATTTCAGTCAAGCCGCAGTCTCAGCACAGGCGACGCTAGGTGCCAGCGCAGTCCAGCCTCCCACATCACAGCCCTTAAATCTGGCCCGTGGTCCTAGAGAGGAGCCCCCACAAGCCCCAAACCTGGAAAACCGAGCAGTGAACGAGAATGTTCCCATGAATGCCCAAGGGGGCCCCGCGCTCAACGAGGATGACTTGAACCGCGACTGGCTGGACTGGGTGTACACGCTTTCCCGGGCTGCCGTCCTCCTCAGCATCGTGTACTTCTACTCCTCCTTCAGCCGTTTCGTCATGGTGATGGGAGCCATGCTGCTGGTGTATCTGTGAGTGTGTTGCTTGCTTCCCCTGATCTCCTTTGGGACCCCCGAGATGGTAGGCACAGGATCTGGCCTGTTGTGAGTGCTGAGAGAAGGGTGTGCGTGCTGGGCTTCCGGGCCGTGGCTCTGCTTCCTGAAGCAGTGCAGGCTGTGCTGAAGAGTGTTTATCAGAATTGTTTAGAGACAGAGTTTTTATTTAGTGTGTTTTATAAAAACAATTCATCCAATGAGACATGTTTTTTCAGTTCTTTGAACCTGAAGAAGTATTCAGTGTACTCCTGTGTAAGAATGTCCTTTTTGATGATAACTGCCATTAGTAATTGGGTCATACAGGTACAAGTTGCACCTTTTGATAAGACTGATATTTCTCTTGCCCTACATTCTTTCCAGGAGACAAAAGCAATCTAATTGTGTTTTAGTTAAAAAAATAAACAACTCTTGTGCCTCCTGACATGTCTTTAATATCTAACATAGGGCCAGGTAAGTCCATGAGAGACTTTTAGATTTGAGTTGGCTTTCGTTTTCCTGTCATTGCTTTGAGGAAGGTGATTCATTCTTCTCTTGTAGAACACTAATGTTTACGGTGTTAAAGTGAAAAAATCACAACTTGTCTTCTTTTCCTGAACAGACATCAAGCTGGATGGTTTCCCTTTAGGCAAGAAGGAGATCAGCAGCGGGCCCCCAACAACAATATAGAAATTAACCATGATGGGCAACATGTGAATAATGTAGAACTTGAAGAAATGGTATGTTATGGAAGGTTTGGGGCTGTTGAAAAATGATTTTCCTTAGCACTGGATGGGACCAGCAAGATAAAAAGTGCGTTGGATATTCTGAAGTGCTTATGGAGTGGTGTGTGAAGAAAAGCTAACATATCAATTGTGGTGGC